AAATAATCTATTATCATTTCTCCAGTAAAATGATTACTATTAATCCTTAAAGTTCCAATAATTAGTTCACTGTCGTTTATATGAAGTTTATTAGTGAGATCAGTAAAGAAATTTATTAACGTTACATTTATACAAAGTATGTTTCGTAAGTTTACATATCTAAATCTACATATTTTCCTATGTTGCTTAATATTTGGTTTTTTTATTCCGTATATTACTCGATTTTCTCTTTAATCAGAGTTCTTTATAGACCTTTCTCTTGTGCTTCACTTTTTCAGGTGAGGTAATTTGATTTTGCTCAAATAAAAAGAGAAAAATTTGTTTATTGACTTTCGCTTTTTGGTAATTACGATTCGCCAGCCACAGTAACGGATTCCGGTGCCCTGCTGAGGTGTTTCTGATAACACAACCTATATAAAAGAAAATTAAAACTGTGATTAGAGGTTCACCTCGATTTTAACGTTTATCGGATTAATTAACGATTTACATAAACTTGATACAACACAGACACACTTAAACATAGATTAGTGAGACCAGTTATTCTGAAAACATTAGAACATTAAAACTTTTAAAACTCACTGTTTGCTAAGCATAGAACTGTATTGCGAAATCTAATGTTATACATAGTTATTCCTGATCATGCATAAATGTATAAGTCATGATTTAGTAAGAAGGAGTACAATGATCTACTGATACCACTTCCAAAATTGGACACTGCAATTACAGTGCGTAAGGATTATCTACATCTATTTCTTATAAATTGTGTAATCATTCGGATACTGTAATATCATTTCATGAAACTACAATTAAACTTTCAAAATAAGAAGAAAACCTAAGAACGATACAACAAATTCATACAACAAACTTCAAACTTAAAATTGACAATCAAATCAAATAAAACTTAAGGGACAGGAATATTTAAATTCTAATTCTAAGTGTACAATTTAATGGAAATTGTATATATTCATGAAGCATAATGAAATAATACGGTGCATTGTAAAAGATACAACAAACATATTGTTCTATTCGTTTGTACAATGAAAGTTTCTTAATGCATCTATAATTTATTCTTTATCTTTACATTTGTTTAAGATACAGACACATCGTTTTTATGATCAAAGATGTTTCCTGCGATCCTCAAAAGTAAAATTGAGTCAATACCTTTCCCTACAAAGGTGTTTCCTTTCGTGCCTCTGCTTTCCACTGAAATCCATTTACTCGTGTCGTAATGGGTTTATTTCTATTAGTTGCATTCTCAATTCCATTTCTAACACCCGCTACTAATCTCATGGCTGGGTTGGACACCAAGCCATTGCGCTTTGGTTTCACATTACTTGCACTGGAATAGAAAGTAGTAAAACGCTTCATGTAATCTTCAATCATATTAATAAAATTATTTGATTAAAAGGATAAGATATTTAAATGATAAATTGAAAAATAAAATTACCTGGCAGGGGTATGGTCAGAAGTGTGTTTTACACTCCTGCCAACACCAGCTCCACTATTCCCCAGAATTATCCTCATATGCGTGTCTCTAGTAAAATGAGTATCGGCCGAGTTTCTTTTCTCGTCCAGTCCATTCTTCTTTTCTTTTCCAACATTTAAACCTAACATTTCGTTTGTCAATTCAAACGGTTTGTTAACTTCATTCTTATCAATGATTTCGGTTTTTATGTTAATTGGCTCGTAAATGGCTGGTGTATGACTGTAGCCACTCAGCTGCGTCTTGTACGGTATGTTCTGGTTTCCAGTTAACAGGGTGACCCCCAACTGGTTGTGTATCACGTTAGCTGCTGTTTGGGCGCTTGGTGGACTGGTGTTTGTAGGCGAATAAGGTATGAGACTGTCGCTTAACGGTGAATGAGGCGGCGAAGCATAGATCGGGCTCTGTGGTTCACTTTTCAGGGGCGACAAGAGTTTGCTGAGTGGTCGACTCTTCGCTCCTCTCGAACATTGTTGAAGTTGTTGCGTGAAAGATAATGGTGTCTAAAATTATAGGAGTCAGATAACGGTCTGGTCTTTCATGTGGTCTGTGATCATAGCGTGTATAGATTGAGTTGATTTCTACAAAGCATGTGAACAAGGTTCTCATTTATTGAGTGGCTTAAGTATGTATGGAGGTTCGAGCGAGAGTATGGTTGTACCAACGTGAAACAAATCTTTTCATGGTCAGGATAAGAAACGATCTGTACACGAGTGCATGGAACAGAATGAACAAAACATGCAGCGGTTAATGAAACGTGTGATGGATGAATTGATTGGAAGTGGTATCGGAATTTGAAAATTCTTCAAGTGCAATTATGAGTTAATGGAAAAGCATTAGAAACATCTTTGTTACCTACTTTTATTACCTGATTCACCATCGAGTTCTGATTGAATTTCCCTTGATCGCTCTTCGTGCTGCCCGTCAAGTTGCTGCTGGATTTACTGTTGCTAGAGTTATTGCCTAGGGAAACACAACTTCTCCTCTTCGTTGAATCTGGTGATTCAGCGGGACTATACTGTGTAGAGAGAGGATTTAGAATTGCCGACGACGGTTTTGTCTCTGCTGTTGAATTAGAGGTTACTGAAGTAGCACTACTACTTCCACCTACATTATGACAGATTAAGAAAGTATAAAAGTTTTAAGACAATATCATATTTCGCATTTTCGTGTACGCTAAACCAACCTCCATTAATGCCAGGTCTAAGAATTCGTTGATTAGCCGAGTGTTCTTCAAGAAGCCTTACTACTGTATCGTGTCCACTCTTAGCAGCCACCTTAATCGCATTTCGCCCGCAGTGATCAGAATGACTGGGATCAGCACCATGATTCAAGAGTGCTCGTACGCAATGCTCATGGCCTTCTTGTGCAGCTATACCTGAATTGTATTCAATGACAGAGGTAATTGTTTGCTTGACTTAAAGGGTAACGATTGTAAATTAAAGCACTTGTATCTTACCCAAAGCTGTTGCACCTTGATTGCAAGTGTGATCAGGAGTAGCTCTATGTTCTAGAAGTAGTCTAACAATAGCGGCGTGTCCTTGCCAGGCTGCAGAATGAAGAGGAGTTCTGTTCTCGTTGTCACAGGCATTTACATTGGCACTGCCTTCTGTTAACAGTAGAGCAACCATCTCAACGTGTCCTTGCCAAGCACTTACATGCAGAGGTGTTCTGCCCTACAAAGTTGTAACTTACGTATTGATTTGGATCCCAAACTATGACATATTAAACTAAATCTCCGAAGAAAAGCAGTACTAGAATAAAAATTTGTGGTCACTCACTTCTGAGTCTCTACTTTCTACATCGGCACGGGCATGTTCCAGTAAAAATCTTGCCATTGCTAATCTGTTTTCCAAGGCTAAGATATAGAGAGTACTTCTACCATCTGCGTCTTTTGCATTGACATCAGCATTGTGGGCTAATAATACTCTGACAGTGTCATAATGCCCTTCCAAAGCTGCAAGTCTATATTGAATTTTATTCATAAGAAATCAGTTTGTAAGATGATTTAGAAGAACGGTTTCATTTTTTAAAAATAAGATTAGAAGTGTACCTTAGCGCAGTTTTTCCATCATGAGCGTGTTGATCGATTGGTGCGCCATGTTGTTCTAACAATCTCTCAACAAGAGTATAGTGTCCTTCTTGTGCTGCAAGCATCAAGGCTCCCTTGCCGTCATTGTCAGTTTCATCAATTTTGGCTCCAGCTTCCAGCAATGCTTCACATACATCAATATGACCTTCAAAAGCAGCATAATGCAGAGGTGTCCACCCTGAATTGTCTCTATGTTGTTCATCTAAACCTAAAACGCCATTGCTTATTTATTTTTCTTACAACTGTAAAATTTGATTCTTAATTGTTATACAATGAATCAGCAAAACGATGACACGATTTTAAACCAGGGATCTGTACCTCTATCCAGCAATTGTTTCACCACGTCAGTGCCACCTTGGGCAGCAGCCACACTGAGAACGGTCCTGCCCTCGTTATCGATGCTATCAACGTAACATCCCCAAAATAACAAAAGGGCAACAACCGATCCATGACCCATACTGGCTGCTGCCCACAAAGGTGTACGTCCAGTGGCATCACAGTGATCTACATCCGCCTCATATTCCAAGAGTAATTCACAGACATCTCTGTGACCTTCGAATGCTGCTACCAGTAATGGAGTCATGCCATCTTTGTCCTGGTGATCAACTGCTGCTCCCCTCTCCAAAAGTATTGTGACCACCTGTGATGGAAAACAATGTTTACTTGTTGAGTCACAACTGACTTAGAAAGCCAATGAATCAACTACAAAATTATTAAATGTGTAGGCTTTAATGATCATAGAACTATGAGGTACTAATTAGACTGTCGTCTATGCAACGAAGTGGATTATTTGGTGGTAAGTCTCATCGTTGCTTTTTTTTTTAATCCCTTTTTAAGTTGAGAACCGAACGAACCTTTGCATAGCCATGATTAGAAGGAACACACAAAGCAGCGACACTGAGAGCTGTTCTACCATCGCTATCAGCATGATCGATCTCCGCGCCAAAGTCTAGGAGATGTTCAACTATCTCACTGTGGCCCATGTAGGCAGCAGCAATTAAGGCGGTTCTGCCCTCATCATCTGTTCTGTTGACGTCGGCGCCGTGCTGCAGAAGCGCTTTAACAATGTCTTCGTGGCCACCCCACGCAGCTGCTCTCAGCGCGGTTCGTTGATCCCAGTCAGCGCAATCTACTATTGCCCCGTGCTCCAAGAGCATCTCGACTACCTACACGTTTGCATACATCTTTTATTATGTTTCCACTTGTAATGCAGTATATGACCCATTTATGATCAAGTCAAAAGTGTATACACCATCACAGTAAAAACATTCCTATTTTTAGGGGTAAGTATCTTTTCCCGCAAACATCAGGAATTGTTCATTTGATGACATTAGGTAAATACTTTAGACTGATCACCTGAGTGTGTCCTCCCCAGGCAGCAGCTCTGAGGGCAGTCCAACCATCACAGTCTGCATGATCCGCACAGGCACCAGCAGCCAAAAGCACGCGAACTACATCCGCGTAGCCATGTCTAGCGGCTAAGTTTAAGGGTGTCTGACCATGGCGATCTGTAGCCTCCAATTTTGCCTAAAGAGGTGAGGGATTTTTAACAAATTGTATTAAGAAAGTACCAGACGTTGTTACACTTCTGACGTTCAGAAATAGAAATTCACCTGAGGACAAGTTGTTAAAGCCAACTCCAATAAAGATGCATTGCCATCTGCAGCGAGTGTGTGCAGCACTGTTCGTCCGCAAGAATCAGTTTGATTGATGTCTCCACTCTCACCAAGCAGTTCTGTTAATGGTTCGCTAGGAGACTCATCCATTGGGCTAACATCTTGCGAGACCTTTCACAACAAAGTAAAGTAAGTATTATACAATTCTATAAGTAATCCAAGAAAAAGTGAAGACGTGTCGCTTGATACAAAGTACTAAACAGTTCTGATTCAATATTTAAGAAGAAGAATGATTATACTAAACATGAAAAGGGTAAGAAGTGAACATCTAATGATCATGTACCTGACTAGAAGAAATAGCATCCTTGCTGGCATCATCTTCTACAACCTTTTCAGACGGCTTGGCCCCAGCATCGATAAGCAATCTCAGTAATTTAACTTCTTGCCTGGGCCAAAGGATACACTCAGAGCTGTCTAGGTAGCATTCTTCGATTGGTGCTCCACTGCCAATCATCCAGAGTACCTGAAGTGTGTGAACATCCAAATTGCAGTTTGTAGTGGCTACGTTAGTGATAGATCGTTGGAGATGTTGTCCTAGCACACAGATTTCATCAGGATTTAGGTCTGTCCCGCGAATGGTGTAATAAGCAGCCAACATGGCGTGGCCTTCTATGGCGGAGCAGAGATACTTTTGAGTGCAATGTTTAACGTCGAGCAACCATTCGGCGAAGCTATGATGGAACAGCATCAGCGCACCGGCACGGGATACCGAAATCACTCTTCGCAGAAGATGCAGGCGTCGATTGAAGTCCTCGATAGTGATCCCAGTGCAGGCGGTTTTCACGCATTTGTAGAGAATATCCTGAGTGATAGGCAATTTGGCAGCAAGGATCACGTTCAATAACGGTTGGACTTTGGCGAATTGTTTCCTGCTGAAGAGTCTTTGACACAGCCAAAGATAGAGACCGTTCAGGGTGCCTGGTATTTCGCGGACTTCTCGCAGGACGATGAAGTTCTCGGCTACGCCGTCGAGAACTTTCTCCAGGTACAGAAAACAGCCGTTGCTCTTGATGTGTAGCTGGTTCAGCATCTCGGCTGTGTCGCACGAGATGTGCTGCCTAAACCAGGAAAATAAAATTATTGATTATTGAATTAAATACTGAATGCTACTTATACGAAATGGTATACATATCTGAATAATAGATTGCGTCTACTGCCTACGACATGATACACTTAAATCAATAAAATACCAAGTCTTTATTTACCTGAGCGCATCCTCTTGATCCAGTCGCGCAAGGATATATTGCTGAACATCTCTGACCACATGGGACTTCCTTAAATCGTCCAACGAGATCTTGCGGAATCCGGTGAACATCCTCGAGATCGTTTTACTTTGACGTCGAGCAGTACAAACCAGCAACAACCATTGCGGAAACAGGTGGTGGTGGTTGGCCAACAGTTCAGCAATTGTTCTACTAACATTCTCGTTCTCCCTTCTTGAGTCTCTGGTGCCAGTTTGCGGGGGGTTCAGGATCTGTCCCTCGTCGATGGAATCGACCAACAAGAACAAACAGCTCTTCGGTGGTTCGACTTCCAACAAGGGGAACAGTAGAGCTTTCTTCAGTGCGTCGTCAGGATCTCTGTCGAGGATGTCCGGTTGCAGGGCGGCCTGTATCTCTGGATCTGTTCGGAGTTTCTCGGCGTAGGCTTCCGCCACGGCTTCCCTCGAGGTTAACGGAGCCGTGGTGGCGTTGGTGGTGGTTGTTGCGGTGCTGCCAGGAGTTGGCGAATTCGGGGATGCTCTATGGACCCAACAAGAACAAAAATTTAATCCTAGAGTTTGAGAAGGAGCCAATGAAAACAGAAAAAAAGCGAACTAGTGGAAAGTGTCCACATATAAACAGACTAGTCTACTGTTGATACTCTGCCAATTTCAAAATCGCGACTACCAACCTGTGAATTCCGTCCGAGCTGGCCTGTAGAAGTTGAGCGACAAGGGACCTAACGAACTGCGCCGGCGACAAGGAGGCTTCGCTCCTAGCCTGGCAGAAGTGCCTGGCCAGCAGCCTCCTGTTCAAGGACCTCTGGTGTCTGGCATTAGCGCTGGTGGACGGCCAAGCCAATTCGGCGCAGAGCGCAGTCTTCCCGCTTCCGGGTCCACCGACGATCAACGCGCCGCAGGTCTTCGAAGCCGGCCTCTGCTCTAGGCAATGGGACAGCTTGACGAACGCCCATTCGCGGCAGAAGAACCGCTTCTTCTCGATCACCGGCGCCGCCATTCTCGGCCTCCTAGACTCCTTCGTTTTCAGCGTTCAAACTTGAATATACACGGACACACGTTACTCTTCGTCGCTCCTCGGGACCGCGCACATGTCGATCTCCGTTCGAAGCTTCGACACTTCGGTCGGAAGTAGGTCGTGCGTCGGTAGGGAAAAAAGTGACTCAGGCCGTTCGGTTGGGCGACCTTCTTCGTCTATCGGTGTTCTAGGCTTGACCAGGCCTTCTTCAGGTATTCGGTTACACGCAAATGTTATTATTGTTATTGGTTGGTTAGCTCGTCGGTATCGGGATAAGACACCAGAGTTGTCGTCTAGATTGCGTCTAGATCAGTCGCGACGCGACGCAGCTACGCTTGATGTTGTCGCAGGGTGACGAGGAAACGTTGGTCGGAGCCCCAGGGGGCTCTGAGGCTTCCTCGGCCTCCATTCAGCCTTCTCATAGCCTCGCCGCGAAACACCACCGCGTTTCGTGTCGCAGCATTCTACCTGGAACACACCAAGACCGCGTCGTTTTTATTAGACCCTGTGGGATGCCGTCGGAATTCTTCGTCTCTAGGAGCAACGGGAGGACCGCGTTGCTGACTCATGCAACCCCTTCACTAGGAAATCTCGGGCTAAGAATTAAGGGGGTGAGTTGTGACGATAAGGCATTTGAACGAGGCTCTCTTATTTCTCTTGGTAATTGTCTGCGTCGAAGCTAGCTCGCGGGGGAATGTGCCTTTGAGTTTGTTAAGTCTTGTCTTTGTTTAAGTCGTTGCATGCTGATCACTTTGGATGCTTAACGTTTGACGTTGTTAGAATTACCGAATCACTACTAACGTAATATTAGAATTACCGAGCTAATCAGAATTACTAATTCGAAAATTCCCATTTTGCAATTATTAAAATTATAAAAACGCTTTCGTTAGAAATTGTAAAATAGATTAGCGAGTCTCAAGAAATGTACTCTTCTAATTTTTAGAAGAAATTATAAATAAGTCACATTAATTGCTCGGTAGTTCTACTGTTAATTAATATAAAATTCGATTTTACACATTTCAAAATAATAATTTCGCTATGTGATGGTGTATTTTCTAAGGTCCCTAACGATATTTAAGGTCCAGTGGGATTCGGAAAGCTAGACGTTTAATTCGAATTCTTCGCGGGACGAAAGTGAGATTCTGTCGCGGGAAACTTGAATTCCTAGCGATCTGAAATTCGTATTAAATGGCCGTAATAATTGTCTTTACGCGGGGGATGGAATTACCGGCAGGGCTCGGGGCGAGTCGGGACGGGTTAATGACAAACTGGTTCCACTAATGAGAAGGAGATACGTACGCGCGCGCGCGCGGTGGCGGCGCAGGACTTTTCTAATTATTAACGTTGTTTACGCCCGTTAACTCTTCCCCGTGTAAATCTTGACTGTTCGTAATTGTCAAGGGAAATGGAAATTGCGTTCCCACGTTCGTCGTTACGGGGCAATTTCTCTCATTCGGTTTCCCTCCTTCGCGCGCCGCCTCGAATCTCAACGAAATTTTCAGCGGTTCGCGTTTAATTAATCGGCTAGTTAAAGGCACTGATAGATCGAAGATTTATCCCCATAATCATCCTCGGAGAGGAGATTTATAAAATTTTACGGCGCTTCGTTGCTGCATCGAATAGTCGGTATGGGTACAGTTAGACCGGAGTTTCAGGTTGATCGTAACAACGAACCAATTCTACTGGTTCTAACAGTGAACACGGTTCCCTTGTAAACGTGAAGCGCGAACGATGCAGTGAAGTGATATGTTGCAGGAATAACAGACTGCGAATTTCACGAATTTATGGAGGATAGTTCGAAGATTAATACATTTGGAATCTTAATTAACTGTACTGTGGCACTTATGCACTTGATAGAATAGTTCCTGGAACGAGTGAACTTTTAGATGATTTTAGTTGCTATTCTATTCTACGAACAAATGCCGCGCCGATCGTCATAATTATAATAGCTGCGATCAAGTAACAAAAACCTTTTCAATGTTCCTTTCGCACAATGAACTTTTTAGTGAAATAAATTATGTTTGAGACCCAGTTTCCAAGGAACCAATCCGCTCGTTGCGTTTACCGAGAGTCGTTAATTAACTGGGATGATCGACAGCCAAGTAATTACAACTTTAGCTATCTTAGTTAGCAGCTAGCTAGGCAGGTAGGTCCTATGCACCGTTGTAATAGAGTTCTAGAGTATTTAATATTTGAGCTTGTATAGTTGAATGGAATTGTTATTGTTGGTTTCTTAACGTTGAACGGAGAGCCTGCGAGGTCTTGGAAATGCGGTTCTGGTCTTTCATAGATATTCACCTTAAATTTAAATTTACTCGTTAAACTTAAGAAGTCCATGCAACGTTCAAAGTGTTGGAGCACAGTTATTCATTCCACTTCGGAACCATTCAGTGGAATTTTCGAACTGGTAATTTGATTTATTTCAGTATTTTACGAGATTAACATTTATTTCAACATTCAACATTTCATTTAATATTTCATTCAACATTTAACATTTTATTAAACATTTCATTTCAACACTCACTCGCCATTTTACCAAAAATTTAATTAATTCTTTTTACTTCTACTTCAATTGTTCAATTGCGCGTTTCCATCGCGTGCAAAGCGAGTACCATAATGATTCCAGGTGTCGGGGCAACGATTCGGAGAACAACAATCGAGTATCTTTGTGGGTGTAACAAGGGCGTCGTCTCGACAATCATCTCGCGAATGTCGCCGTTAATTTGCATCATTGGGGGTGTCAGCTGACAAATTATTTTAATTACGCGCGCGTCTAGTTAATTCCCCACCTCCTCCGCACACGCTCGCACGGACACAGCCCGGTGAAAGAAGAAAAGATCGGGGCGCCGGGCCGGGCTGGGTGGTAATTATGAACCGCGCGAGCTTCCTTTCTCTCTTTCTCCGATTCCGGCGCATAATCACGTCGTTGTTCCAAAGTCAGATCACCTAATTACTCGGCTCCGTCGAGGAGAAACGGAAAGATTCGATGAATGATGGCGGAGGACAACTCGTTCGCCGCCATTACGTGAACTCTAATACACGCTTGTTGATGAAACACAATACTTGAACTGTTCGGTTCAATATTTTTTACTTTTCCGGTAATTATTGCGTTATCCGTTTGTTTTGCGATATTGTGGCAGATTTGGGATGAAGGTTTTGAACAGAATTTGGCAAATGTAAGTATTATTATTTTCTCCTGAGTTAATCCCTTGTCCTGTAATATCGTGCTAGGTTTGTGTACGTAAACTGAATAAATTTTATGATTTTGTTACATCGAATCAAGTGGTAACTCAGAATCAGCTTTCGAATATAAAGGCCTAAAAGTGAATATTGTTTCTCTGGTAGCAAATTGTTGGTCTTTGAAGCAGACAAATGTAAGCATACGATGGACACGTAATTCTTTTTTATTTATACTAAATTATTAATGAATAAAATTGTACCAGTGAGAGCAGTTGCAAGAGAAATCACTGTAGTGTGTTTGTACAGCCATATTTCCGTGATGTGATGTTGTAATAACAATCTTTCACGATGATTAGTGAAAGCGACCGTTACCATTGTTTGGTGTCTATAGCAATTTGTTCGTAGTTACGGTAATTTCAGAACTTAGAAATTCTATGGTTCGAGATATGGAATATTATGGTATCTGGTTTCTGGGAAATATTCAATTCCATTCGCTGCAAGAAATTTTCTCGCGTTGAAAGCTCCTTTCCTGCGGATCCCACACGCGCGTCGCGCGGTGCCGTTATTAAACCAGTTGTTAAAGAGGACAAAGCGAGGCCTCCCACGATCATGCCACTTTGCTCAAATTACACGGCACGCGTGAATCATCTCTCTTCATTGTCGCGCGCGTACGGAAAGCATTCAAAATTTATTGTCAACCCTCATGACATCCATCGTTTTACCTTATTCCATATGAAACGTTGTTACTGACACAAGATTCTTCTGTTTCTCACAGATTCCAATAGTCCACATATCAATCATCGTTCTTACCAATAAATCTTGATTGTAATGAATTTGTTTTCCTATTAATACATTCTGTGTATTTTATAGTTATTGTAAAAGCTTTTTATAATTCGGAATATGAAGAGTTGTACCTTTGAAAATTAAATCTGGTATTAATATTGAATTTATCTTTGAAACTTAAATCCACTATTAAAATTAATACATGTCACCTCGATTAACCAAGTCACCATTTCCAGCGACTCAAATTATTTTACCCCAACTATTCTCAAATTTAATAATTCTTAGATTTTCATATTACACCTCCATACGCACATAACTAAATCTTCCAAACATCCTTTGAAAAATTTCTTCCCTACTCTCCATTCATCTACACTGTCACTCGCCCAATCAAATCGGATAATCGAATATTTCATTAATAAAGTACTCTGCTATGGATTGACTTAATTCAAACTCAACTTTTCCATTCAATAACGAATTTAATCAATCACAGTGCACTATCGTCGCGACTTTCGCATGTCCGATTCGCCGAGCGGGGACAGAGAATCCAGACGATCTGTTTTAATTGCGTTTTTCGGATATCTCCGTGAGTCGTTCGCGAGGGTCCCGAACAATTGATCGCCGAGGAGCATAGAGAGAGGCTCCGGCTGAGTGCGTAGGGAGGGACAATTTTCCCCGACGCTAACCCCGACGCACCGGGACAGATTTACAGCAATTAAAACGCGCGGATCTCGAGGAAACCCGTTTACGCGCCGGCTGCGCGATCCTCCGGATTCAAACCGAGGAAGTTCATTAACCCTGCCGCGTTCTTAGAGCTTTTTTTCGTCATTTTCAGAACGCCATTGTGTTTGTTTAATTTTCTCCGATTTGAAATGTTTTTATTTCATACAGAAAATATTTTTGAATTTGCGGAAAGTTGAAAAATATTATAATAATGATATAAATGTGTCTTTGATTTCATGTAGAGGTACTGTTGAATTTGAAGAAAGTTCAGAAACGATGATGGTATTATTAATGTGAATGTGATTTTATGCAGAAGATACTTTTTAATGTGAGGAAAGTTGAGAAATGATGATGATACGTTTAATGTGTCTTATTTATCATGCATAAGATACTATTGAATTTGAGGGAAGCTGAAAAATAATAACGATGATTTTAAATGTGCTTTTGATTTCATACAGAAGATATCTTTCAATTTGAGAAAACTTTAGAAGGGATGGTGATATTTCAAAGTGAGAACCACAGCAAAGTTGAAATTATTACGAGCGAAAGTAAATGGCGAAGATGAAATCCCGCCATCTCACTAAATAAATCTTCATTCTCAGTTTAATACTTGTAACGCTGCAACGTATAACGTTAACTTCTCTACTTTGCAACCGAGGTGACTTCAACAAAACTGAAATCATTGCGAGCAATATATTTTCATTCTCGGTTTAACTCATTCAACGTTGCAACATTGCAATGCTGCAAACCTTAAACAGAAAAAGCTAAAAACCCCATTTATCCAA